ACCGAGACCGCCAGCACCACTACGCCCAGCGCGTCGGCGAGCAGTACGACCGAGAGCCGCACCCCGAGGGTGACGAGCACGACCGGTACCAGCAGCACAACTACGCCCAGCATGTCGGCAAGCGGTACGACCGACAGCAGCACCATGGGTGTGACGAGCGCGACCGGTACCAGCAGCACCACTACGCCCAGCACGTCGGCGACCAGTGCGACCGGAAGCGGTACCACGAGTGGGACGAGCACAACCGGCACCAGCAATACCACTACGCCCAGCACGTCGGCGAGCAGTACGTCCGAGTGCAGCACCACGAGTGTGACGAGCACGACCGGTACCAGCAGCACCACGCCCAGCGCGACGGCGAACAGTACGACCGAGAGCAGCACCACGACTGTGACGAGCACGACCCCTACCAGCAGCACCAGTACGCCCAGCACGTCGGCGAGCAGTACGACCGAGAGCAGCAAAGCGAGTGCGACGAGCACAACCGAGACCAGCAGCATCACTACGCCCAGCACGTCGGCAAGCAGTACGACCGAGAGTAGCAACACAAGTGTGACAAGCACGACCGAGATCAGCAGCATCACTGCGCCCAGTACGTCGGCGAGCAGAACCACCGACAGCAGCATCACGTTCGGGACGAGCACGTCCGATACCAGCAGCACCGCCACGCCCAGCGCGTCGGTGAGCAGTACGACTGAGAGCAGCACCACGACTGTGACAAGCACGACCCCTACCAGCAGCACCACTACGCAAAGCACGTCGGCGAGCAATACGACCGAGAGCAGCACCACGAGTGTGTCGAGCGCGACCGAGACCAGCAGCGCCACTACGCCTAGCACGTCGGCGAGCAGTACGACCGAGAGCATCTCCACGAGTGTGACGAGCACAACCGAGACCAGCAGCATCACTGCGTCCAGCCTGTCGGCGAGCAGAACCACTGACAACAGCATCACTTTCGGGACGAGCACAACCGATACCAACAGCACCGCCCTGCCCAGCGCGTCGGCGAGCAGTACGATCTAAAGCAGCACCACGAGTGTGACGAGCACGACCGAGAACAGCAGCACCACTACGCCCAGCACGTCGGCGAGCAGTGCGACCGAAAGCAGCACCACGGGGGTGACGAGCACAACCGAGACCAGCAGCACCACTACGCCTAGCACGTCGGCGAGCAGTACGACCGAGAGCAGCGCCACGAGGGTGACGAGCACGACCGAGACCAGCAGGAACATTACGCCTAGCACGTCGGCGAGCAGTACGACCGAGAGCATCTCCACGAGTGTGGCGAGCACGACCGATACCAGCAGCATCGCTACGCCCAGCACGTCGGCGAGCAGAGCCACCGCCAGCAGCATCACGGTCGGGACGAGCACAACTGGTACCACGCCAAGCGCGTCGGCGGCCAGTACGACCGAAAGCAGCACCACGAGTGTGACGAGCACGACCGCTACCAGTAGCGCCACGACGCCTGGCACGTCTGCGAGCAGTACGACCGAGAGCAGCACCGCGAGGATGATGAGCACGTCTGGTACCAGCACCAATACGCCCAGCACGTCGGCGAGCGGTACGCCCGAGAGCAACGCCACGGGGGGGACGAGCACGACCGAGACCAGCAGCACCACTACGCCCAGCACGTCGGCGAGCAGTACAACCGAAAGCAGCACCACGAGGGTGACGAGCACGACCGATACCAGCAGCGCCACTACGTCCAGCGGGTCGGTCAGCAGTACGACCGAGAGCAGCACCACGAGGGTGACGAGCGCGAGCGGCGCCAGCAGCACCGCTACGCCCAGCACGTCGGCGAGCAGTACGACTGAGAGCAAAACCACGAGTATGACGATCACGACCGAGACCAGCAGCACCACTACGCCCAGCACGTCGGCGAGCAGTACGACCGAGAGCAGCACCACGACTGTGACGAGCACGACCGGGGTCAGCAGCAACGTCACACCCAGCGCGTCGGCGAACAGTACGGCCTCGAGCAGCACCACGAGTGTGACGAGCACGACCCGTACCAGCAGCACCACTACGCCCAGCGTGTCGGCGAGCAGTACGACCGTGAGCAGCACCACGAGTGTGCCGAGCACGACCGAGACCAGCAGCAACACTACGCCTAGCACGTCGGCGAGCAGTACGACCGAGAGCAGCACCACGAGAGTGACGAGCACGACCGAGACCAGCAGCACAGCCACGCCCAGCGCGTTGGCGAGCAGTACGACTGAGAACAGCACCACGAGTGTGACGAGCACGACTAGTACCAGCAGCACCACTACGCCCAGCACGTCGGCGAATAGTACAACCGAAAGTAGCACCATGAGTGGGACGAGCACTACTAGCACCAGCAGCACCACTACGCCCAGCAGGTCGGCGAGCGGTACGACCGAAAGCAGCACCACGAGTGGGACGAGCACATCTGGCACCAGAAATACCACTACGCCCAGCGCGTCGGCGAGCAGTACGCCCGAGGGCAGCACCACGAGTGTGGAGAGCACGACCGGTACCAGCAGCACCGCCACGCCCAGCGCGTCGTCGAGCACTATGACCGAGAGCAGCACCATGAGGGTGACGAGACCACCACAACCACGACCACCCCGACATCGACGACGACTAACGCAACGCCCACGACCAACACGACCACGACCACCGCTAAGACCACGACGACCACCACCACGACCACGACACCTGGACCACCACGACCAGCACCGAGATTACGCAACGCACGACCATTGCCGACGCCACGACCTCGACCTCGACAACGACGATTCGATCACGACAATGACGACCACCACCACGGTCACCACTGACCGACACCAGCGTGACATTCTGACATCCAGGAGTGGCGCGGGACGACGTGCCCAGGTGGGAGCAGTACAAGTGAGGCGAGCAGGGTTGGTGTGCTCCCCACCCCTCTTTTCCCCTCCCCTCCTCCCTCCGCCGCCTCTTCAATTGGCGCATGGGGCGCCTCGTGCAACTTGGGGCTGCTGGTGGGCTGTGGGCCGCCCGGTCCTGCGAGTCGCTTCCGTAATAGGAGGCCGCTCCTGGCCCGCGCAGTCGCCGTCACCGGCGTGTCTCCATGCGGCCTCGCCGCACCCGCGTAGCTTAGCTTTCCTTTTACATCTTATCTGGTGTGCGATCCTCGCCCAGTTTCCTCGCGTCTTGTTTCGGCGCCCCACTCATACAGGGATGCCCGTGCCTTCGTTGTGTGCTGTGCTGCCCCCGCTTGCCGGCTGTTGTGTGCGACCTGCTTTTATTAATGGTCGGTGGGACCATGTGGGATTGCTCTTTAGTTGTGCTGGTTTTGTTGTTGTGGCCGTCTGTGCCATAGGGGTGTTCACACAACTTTGTAGTTCGCTCGCTCTTTGCAGGCTCGGGCCCATAGGTTGGCACGCCTCTGACGGTTTGGCCATTGTGCACGTCCTTGCCGCCCGGCGAATCTGCTTGGGCATTTAATGTTTGCCGGTGCTTCTCCGGTGGAGGAGCCATGGGCAACGGCTTCCAGCAGTTGGGCACTGATGGACTGTAGTGTTGGAGAGGCTTGGTGGCGTAAAAAAAAAAAAAAAAAAAAAACTATGGGTCCACGAAACTTGTGGCCATGATGGAGACGGCGATGATGATGACGACGATGGTGATAAGAACGATGATGATGATGATGCTGATGATGACGGTGACGATGACGATGATGATGATGCTGATGATGAGGAGGAGGAGGAGGAGGAGGAGGAGGAGGAGGAGGAGGAGGAGGAGGGGGAGGAGGAGGAGAGGAGGAGAGACGCGGGGCACCGTCTCTTCAAAACGAGGACCCAACACCACAGGATGGTTGGGAAAAACATTGATTTTCCAATGGTTTTTGAAGGTTTTTTCGGTACGGGCTTTTTCGAGCACGAAAGCTGAAGAGAACCCTGGAGGCCCCCACGAGGGCCGCCACGAGAGCCCCAAGACGACGCCAGAGAGCCCTGAAACGGCCTCACAGAACCCCAAGACGACCCCAAGAGAGCTCCGAGGGGGCCCCAAGAGGCTCCAAGACGGCCTCAGGCAGCCTCAAGAGAGCTCCAAGACGGTCCAAGGCCTCCCGGACGCCCCGTGAGTCACGGGGCCCAAAAAGGCCCCCAAACGTCGCAAAACGCTCCCAGAGCAGCCAAAAAAAACTTCAGAATGGCCCGAAGAAGACCCCCACAAGGACCACCAAGCAGGCCCAGAGACGCCCACTAAAAGAGCGACCGGTGAAGTACGAAGCTCTTCTCACCCAGGCTCCCAAGAGCGAGACGCAGCGTAGAGAGCTCTCCCAGGCACAGCTCCCAAGAGCGAGCGGTGACGTCGGGACACCCTTCCGACCTCTCACACAGGAGCACGCACGCATAGCACGCAAGCACAATAGATTTCCTGGGCTGTCCCCCGGAAGAGGCTCGGGGGGACCCCGCAACGGCCCCAGAGGCGCCCCAAAAAACTTCAAGAGAAAAGGCCCCCAGGAGGCCGCAAGACGGCCCAAGAGGGCCCCAAGAGGCCCCTAGGAGGCCGCAAGACAGCCAACGAGGCCCCAACAGGCGCCCAGGAGCTTGAAAAGAAACCCCGAGAGGCCTACTAACCGTTCCCAAGGAGACGGCAGCGCCCGCCATCAGGCTTCGAAGAGGCAACTGGAAAAAAGTCACCAGAGCCCTCCGGGTGATTTTTTTCAAGGCCCCAGGTGCTTTCAAAATTGACAAGCGGCAAGACGTACACCGCAGACCCACCATAGCCGTCTGTGACGCTCCAAAGGCTGTCTAGGCGGAGGTAGAGCGGAAGGCGGACGACGAGAAGGAAGCGGTCCAAGAGGGCTTCCGAGACGCCCAAGACCGCTCGAAGACGCTCCAGACGAGCCGCGGCAATCGAAATCATTGATTCTTCTATGGTTTCAGAAAAGTTTCCACCTTCTCGCCATTTCGAGCGAAGATAGGCCCAAGACGGCCTTTTCGAGCCAAGACTGGCCCAAGATGACGTGGACGAAGTCCACGGGTTCGCCCTAGTCAGCTACAGTGCTGGGATCAGCGCGTGCGAGAAGAGCGAGCAGTGGCTTCCAGCGCTTGCGCTGTTGAGCGAGATGTGGGAGGTTAAGTTGGAGCCCGACGTTATCTTACCTACATTGCAGGGGCATTTGCATGCAAGGAGGGCCTTGGGACCAAATATCTGCAGGACCCGCATGGCCGTCCTGAGAGCCTATGGAGTGCCCCAGGATGGCCTCAGACTGCCCCAAGACGGCTGCGGGACGCTCAGGAGGGCCCCAAGACGACCCGATAGAGCTCCAAGACTGTCCAAGATGGCCTCGAGACGCCCGAAGAAGCCCCCAAGACGCCCCAAGAGCGCTCCCAGAGGGCTCATGAGAGAACCTCACGAGGTAGAAGTTCTGATTTTCCTTAAATTTTTGATGGACTCTGGGTTGATCACCGTTTCGGGTTCTCGACCGCCCAAGACGGCCACAGGGACCCTCCACGGTGGCCCGAGACGGCCTAAGACGCCCCAAAGAGGGTCCCAAGACGGCCCAAGAGGATTCCAAGACGGTGCGAGAAGGCGCCAAGACGGCTCCAGAGAGCCCCAAGCAGGCTCGCATAGGTCGCCAGGAAGACCCCAAGACGGCCCCAACGACGCCCCAAGAGGGGCGAAGATGGGCCCGAGACCCCAAACGTGCCTCTGAGGGCTCCCAGGAGCCCCCTGGAGGCCCCAACCCGCCCCAGGAGAGGCCCAAGAGGAAGCCTGAGCGAGCCTCAATCAGGACAAATCCAGGATTTCCCTTGGTTTTTGAAGGATGTCAGTTAGCTCGCCTTTTCGGTTTCTCGACCGCTCAAGACGGCCTCAAGGGACTTCCTCATCGGCCCCAGACGGCCCAAGAGGCCTTCAAGAGGGCCCCAAGACAGCCCAAGAAGACCCCAAGACGGCCCAAGAGGGCGCCAAGATGGCTCCAGAAAAGGCCTAAAGAGGTTCAAGGACGTCGCGAAGACGGCCCCCAGAAGGCCAGACAAGGCCTCAAGAGCGACCAAGAGGGGCACGTGGCCCCCGACGTGCCTCTGAGGGCTCCCAGGAGGCTCCCAGGAGGCCCCGATTCGCCCCAAGAGCGCGAGGCAGACTTCTCGCGGGCGGCCCCTGCGCTCGGGGAGACGAGGACGACACAGAACGCAGGGGTGGCGTGTTAAATTCTGCCTGGGGCCCCGAGCTCGGGCGCTGCGGCCTTCGCACCCCTGCCGCGGACCGTGCTAACGGATGTCCGCGTCCCCGGGGGGACGGGCGGTGAGGCCTCGGCGCTCCAGCCGCGGACACGACTCCACGTGCCGCCCCCGCGCTCGATCTCGTCCTCTCCGGGCAGCGGCGAGCGTGGACACCCGGAGTTTCTCCTGGGCAGGGGGCAGGGCGCCCGGGGCCGGCCGGGCGCTCTCGCTGATCGGCGAGGTGTGGCAAGCGAGCGTGGGGCCCAGACTCATCGAATGCGCCTGGCAGCACCATCCCATTCCCCCCGCAGGTGGACGTAGTCCACGGGTCAGCCCTAGTCTTACCTACACTGCAGGCATACGTGCGTGCGAGAAGGGCCTGTCAATCAAAACCCAGAAAAACGCTCCCGGGCGCCTCCGGCGATCTCGAGGACGAAATTCAACGTGCCCTCTTCGCCCGAGGACGAGATTTCGCGCGAACGTGCCGTGTTAAATTTTGCCCGCGCCCCTAGGGGCCGAGCGCTGATGCCCCGGCCCTGGCGCGGACAAGATTTAACACGCTGCCCAGGCGTTGAATCTTGTCCCCCGGCACAAACGGATGCGCCGAGTCGCCCGATTCTCGAAATCCGAGCGTTCCAGCGACACTCCGCCAAGGCCAAAACAATGTATTTTCTTGAAATTTTTGCAATATTTTACCCTTCCAGCTTTTTTCAGCCTCCGGCCGCCGACGATGCCTGCAGGGAGCCCCGGAATGGCTCCAGACTGCCCCAGACACCCTCAAGGAAAGCCCCAAGACGCCCCAGGAGCCTCCCGACGCCGCCTACGACGGCTCCGACCCGAGCCCATGGAAGCCCACCAAGGCCGCCACAGTGTGCGGCATGACCGCTCGAGGGCGAAATTTCACGCGGGGCTTGAGCCCGAGACCGAGATTTAACGTGAGCGTCCCGCGCCCCCCGAGCTTGAGGACAAGATTTAACGCGAGGGTGGCGTGTTAAAGTTTGTCCGCGGCTCCCAGGGTCCATCGCTGAGGCCTCCGGCCTGCCGCGGACAGATTTAACACATTGCCCAGGCGTTAAACGTTATCCTCAAGCTCTCCACGGCTCTCGGCGCAGAAAGACTGGAAATGCGTTTTTCGGACATATCCCCCACTCCTTCCTTGCTCGCGGAAGCGCGCGCGCAGCGGCCCCAGGGCGCGCCGGGCAGGATTCTGGACCGGCGGCGTGGCGGGCAGAATCGGCCCCGCCGATTCTAGGCCGGCGGGTCGGATGCCTAAAATCGGCTGGCTGGTTCCAGAGGCGCGCGTGGCCCCGGGAGCGAGGGGCAGACCTCTGCGACGGCGGGCTGGGGGGCCCCCAGAATCGGGTTGGCTGGCTCCGGAGGCGCGAGAGGCAGCCCAGGGCACCGGGCGGGATTCTTGGCTGGCGGCGCGGTGGCCCAGAATCGGCACCGCCGACTCTGGGCCGGCGGGCTGGTGGCCCTGCATCGGGCCAGCCTAGCCTTGCAGCCCGTGGTCGCCGCCGCCGCCTCCTCCACCGCCACAGCCGTCGTTGTCGTCGTCGTCTCCGTCGTCGTCGTCGTCGTTATCCTCGTCGTCGTCGTCGTCGTCCTCGTCCTCGTCGTCGCCGTCCTCGTCCTCGTCCTCGTCCTCGTCCTCGTCCTCGTCCTCGTCCTCGTCCTCGTCCTCGTCCTCGTCGTCCTCGTCGCCGTCGTCGTCGTCCTCGTCGTCGTCGTCGCTGCCGCCGCCGCCGCCGCCGTCGTCGGTGTCGTTGGGGGCTCGTTGGGGGCTCCCAGACGGGCGAGCAGTGCTACCTGGCGCCCCCGCAGCTCAGGGATATGTGGAACATGACGCCATTCATTCTGCTCGCCTTGCGGCAGCGCGCCTTCACCCCGCAAGTGGACGTAGTCCACGGGTCAGCCCTAGTCTGCTACAATTTTGAGATCAGCGCGTGCGAGAAGAGCGGGCAGTGGCAGCAGGCTTTGGCGCTGCTCAGCGAGATGCGGGAGGCGAAGTTGGAGCCCGAGAAGGTCTCCTATTCAATGCTGGGGCGCAACGTGTGCGAGTTCGCGAGCAGCACCTCTGGCCTCGAGAGGTACAAATCGGCCCAGCAACCCCATAGACGGTCCAGAATGCATCCAGGCTGCCGGGATCGCCCTGAGACGGTCTGAGTGCTTCGCGAGGGAGCTCGAGTATGCCCTGGCAGCTTTCCAAGGCGCCTCCCCAGACGCCCGAGGGGCATTAATTAAGAGATGACCCCACAAGGCCCCAAGACGATCCGCGGAGATCCTCCAGGAAGCGAAACAAGTCGCACAAATCCGGAAGGTTTTCAGCAGTCGCCGTTTCTCCCTCACAAGAACGTTTCGAGATGGGCCCCACAGGCCTCCGACCACGGCGAAGATGCTCCAGGGCTCTGCGAGGGCCGCACCGGCCCCCCCGAGATGGCCCAGGATTGCCCTGCCTGGCCTCCAAGCCAGCCCGGAGGCGGCTGGAGGATGCCCAAGGCCTGCCAGCAGGGTCCCAGGAGCTCCCCCGAGACTGCCCCTGCGCTCCTGAGGTTTCCACCTGGAATATCCAGGTGACGCCCATGTAGGTCCACGAGGGCCCCCAGGAGAGGGCCCCAGAGGCCCCAGGCAGGGCTAAGCTGGCCCTGATAGCGTCGCAGGATCCCGATCTGTGCAGAGTCCCCACAGTCTGCGCAGAGTCCGCGAGTCTACGAGACTTCTACGTCCAGTGCAGAGTTACCAAGTCTATGAGATCATATGCTGTCGTAGCACGGTAAGCGTGCTCGAATCCACATGTTTGCACTAGTCTAAAAACCAATGCCAGTCCCTCAGCGCCCTGGCGGGGCGAACAATCGCAGAGCACGTGGCAGGGCCCAAGGCCGCCCTACGGAGCCCTGTGCGAACCCTTCGCGGCCTGCCGGGCCAACGAAATAAGTCCAGACCGCAGAGGTCATGCGATAAGCGTTGCGCGCTTTCCGTTAGGCCGCGGATCCCCAGTAACAAGTTGCAGCGACAAGCTTGCGGCCATTCGGGAAATTCTTAAGCTGGCCGAAGGGGGCACGGACCGGGAAGTCGCATTCAGCCCAGGGGTGACTCGAAAAAGCAATCCGATTGCTTGTGATGCTGCGGGGGCGACCAGATGATTGCTCAGGCCACAGGACAGTGGCGACTTCATGTGGAACTCCCTCGAAGAAAATTCAGTGGTCCATTTTCGAGGCTCGATCGAAGGTCAATGATCCAGGGGGGACGGGGGGGGCTGCTTCATAGAGTGCCTGTCCACACTTTTACTCCAGGGGGTGGTACGTTTCAAGGTGGCCCTGGAGATCCCCAAGAGGGCCCTCGGACGGACCAAAAGGCCATCAACATGGCTCCAGAATGTGCCTGGGCGGTCCCGAGACGGCCGAGGACCACCCCACGATCCCATGAAGTTCCCAATGCGTTCCGTGGGCCCACGGATTTGTCATTCTGGGTATCTGGCTTTGATCCCGGTCGCGCCGCCCGAAGTGGTTAGTCTAAGGTTCTCTTCGCGGCCCTCATGGGCTCCTCATGGAGCCCAGCAGGCCTCGCCAAGAGAGCCTGCGAAAGCCTTCTTCAAGCCAGGAGAGAACCCCAAGAAGGCCCCCAAGAGAACCCACAGACTTGACACTTCGGGTGTGTCTGCCACCCTGCGCGTGCACCCCCCTCTTTGGCAAAGAGTATTTGCCCCTTCCTCTTCGGCTGTCGCTTCTCTGGTTTCTCTCCTCGCTCTTCACTAATCACTCCTCTCGTCGCCCGCCTTCCTACTGGATGTCCTCGACCCAGACTCCTCGCTCCCCGATCCTTTACCTAGCAGCAGGTCGTGTCAGCAAGCTGAAGTAGCGAGAAGCAGCAGCACGAAGCAGGCAGCGAGCAGCGAAAGCACACTGCAACAGCAAACAGCAGCGACAGGCAGTGGGCAGCACTACGCACCCAGCGGGCAGAACTGGCCATCAGCAGCAAGCTGCAGTCATGTGAAGCAACAGGACGCTGCAGCAGCAAAAAGCAGCAGCAGGCAGTCATTCCAGCTATTCGACAGCACGTCCACCATTACATGCCACTTCGTGCAGAGTTCGTGGACGTAGTCCACAGGCCAGCCCTAGTCAGCTACAGTGCAGGGATAAGCGCATGTGGGAAGAGTCTGCAGTGGCAGCGGGCGTCGGCGCTGCTCACCGAGATATGGGAGGCGAAGGTGGAGGTCGACACCATCACGTACAGCGCTGCGATCAGCGCGTGCGAGAAAGGCGAACAGTGGCAGCAAGCGCTGGCGCTGCTGAGCGAGCTGCGGAAGGCGAAGCTGGAGCCCGACGTCATCGGCTGCAGTGCCCGAGGCAGCACGTGCGAAGTCCGTGAGCAGCATCTCCGGCCTCGGGGTGGCCAGATCGGCCCAGCCCAAAGCTGGGCCCGGAGGCACCCGAGCGCCCCGCACTGGGCGCTCGGCGGCGAGGGGGGGGGAGGGCAGCAAGCGAGGTGGGGTCGAGGATGGCAGGCCAGGGGCCCCTTATGCGCCCTCTGGGACTGCCACCGCGGGCCCAGAAGGGGGTGGAAATGTGTGCGGTCCGATTCGGTTCGATCTCGATGGCTTCCGATTCCGATTCGACTTCGGATTCCGATTCGGATTCCGAGCTCTCAAGGCAGGCCTACTATCCTGCCGATCTCCGCCGATCCGACCTGCCGCGTTCCGCCGATCCGACTCGCTTCGATCGCCAGTAAGACCTTTCGCCTCGCTTCTGGGCTCTCCTGCCCCCCCTGTGCTCTTCTAGGGGGCCACATGCGAACCCTACCCCTACCCCCCACGATTTCTGAGGGGGAGGGTGGGGTTCGCTTCGCCCCACCCTCCCCTCAGAAATCGTGGGGGGAGGTAGGGGTAGGGTTCGCACGTGGCCCCTGACCCTTCCCCCTCGTCAGAGCGAGTGCCCGACCAGGTAGAGACCCCGAGCAGAGGCCCCCCTCCTGGGAACGCGCCCCGAGGCAGCCCCACGAGGGGACGGGGAGGGTCCAGGCGTCCCCGGCCGGCTTGGGGATGCCCCGCAGGCGCTTGAGATCAGGCGAGGAACAAACACACAGACACAATTCATCGTCCCCCGACCCAGGAAAGTATGGGAAAATATGGGAAAACATGGGAAGTGGGGGGGGGGAGACGAAAACCCAGAAAGTACGGGAAAATATGAGGGATCCTGGGAATTGTGTCTATTTCTTTGTGTGCCCCAGGGCTCCTTTATGAGAGGGGCCTCGGCGATGACCTGCCGAGAGACCTCCGCTGGGCGCCGAGGTGATCCGCGGAGGCCCTCCGCGAAGCGAAACGTGCGGTCCCAGACCCCCCTCGAGTCGGGACAAAAATCACGGCGGAAGTGTTGTTCGCCAGTTTCGGCCCCTGGCCTCGGGACCGTCCAAAAACGACTCGGGAGGAAAAACCGGTCTCGGGGACCGGGTCCAGACTTCTGGGGGTCGAAAGACACACCAGCAAGAACAAGGCGAGGGTCTGGGGGGGCGGGGGCGTCCGTAAAGGAATGGGACCAAGAGGCTTCAGACCTTGGGGGGGTCCTTTCTCTGACGAGCGGTGATATCCGTGGCCAAGCCACGATTGGAGTTCTTCCGGCTTCCAGACCCTGGGTTTCTTCTCGAACGATTCGATTCATTGTATAATGCCCTCGCCGTAAGGGGAATCCGTAGTCAGAGTGAGGGAGCCGAACGGTCATTCATTGTCCCTGGGTGCGCGGCTGAAGTGGGATTCCGCGGTGCGGATTCTTGTTGTTGTTGGTGTTGGTGTTGTTGTTGTTGCTGTTGTTGTTGTTGGTGGTGGTGGTGGTGGTGGTGGTGTTGGTGTTGTTTTTGTTGTTGTTGTTGGTGGTGATGGTGTTTGTTGTTTGTTGTTTGTTGTTTGTTGTTTGTTGTTTGTTGTTTGTTATTTTTGTGTGTTGTCGTCGTCCCACCCGCAACCCGCCCCGCGGCCCACCCGCGACCCACCCCGCGACCCACCCCGCGACCCACCCGCGATCCACCCGCGACCCACCCGCGACCCACCCCGCGACCCGCCCCGCGACCCACCCCGCGACCCACCCCGCGACCCACCCGCGACCCACCCGCGACCCACCCGCGACCCACCCGCGACCCACCCCGCGACACACCCCGCAACTCACCTTCGACCCAAACCATGTTCAAGGTACAAACCACCATTTTCGGCGCCTGCGGCGGGCTTTTTTGCATTCCTTCCAGGTGGAGAGCCCGCGACCAACTCGCGACCAACCCGCGACCCAAACCACGTTCAGAGTACAAACCACATTTTTCGGCGCCTGCGGCGGGCATCTTTTGCATTCGTTTCAGGTGGAGAGCCCGCGGCCCACCCGCGACCACGTTCAGGGTATAAACCAATTTTTTCGGCGCCTGCGGCGGGCATCTTATGCATTCGCTCCCGGTGGAGAACCCGCGGCCCACCCGCGACCCAAACCACGTTCAGTGTACAAACCAAATTTTCGGCGCCTGCGGCGGGCTGCTTTTGCATGCCTTCCAGGTGAAGGTGGAAAGCCCGCGACCCACCCGCGACCCAAATCACGTTCACTGAACAAACCAATGCCGCACAAGCGCGGCGGCGGATTTCTGCATGCCGTCTGAGCCCGCAACGACCTCTTCAAGCCCCGCGCATCCACACCAGCCCGTCCAGCAACTATGCCCTGGTGAGTTGCCTTGATCAGAGAAGTCGGGGAGCATAAAGTGGGAAAAAAAAGACTGCGTTGCCGTTATCTTGGGAAAGGAGGGGGAGGCAGGAGGAGTAAACAGGGGACGAGGAGGACGCGGAAGAAGAGAGGATGTAAGGAGAATGTGGAGAAAGAGGAGGAGGAGGAGGAGCAGGAGGACGAGGGGGAGGAGGGGGAGGAGGGGGAGGAGGAGGACGAGGAGGGGGAGGAGGGGGAGGATGATGATGATGATGGACGACAATGGGAGGACGATGATGGAGGCCGATGAGGGGGAGGACGACAATGGGAGGACGATGATGAAAGGACGAGGGGGGGAGAGGGAGGACGAGGAAGAGGAGGAGGAGGAGGACGAGGTGGAGGAGGAGGATGACGATGACGATGAGGACGAGGACGAGGACGAGGAAGAGGAGAGGAGGAGGAGGAGGAGGAGGAGGAGGAGGAGGAGGAGAGCGCCATCGACAGGGAAGGTGGGGGCCACGAGGTCCGCCGGCTCGACGACGCCCGCGTCGCCCGCGCCCGCCCCCTCACTCTTATCCGCAGTTGCGGGGTGCTACGTATGTTTGATTTGGAGCATTTCTGGCATCCCCCATGTTCCATGACGAGCGAGTCTCGAGATGGGCTCCACGGGCTTTCGACAGCGCCAGAGAGACCCCTAAGACTCTGAGACAGTACCAGAGCGCCCCCAGATGCTCCCAATATGGCCGAGGATTGTCCTGCCTGGCTTCAAAGCCAGCCCTGAGACGGTCCCCACTGTCCCTCTATGGCCCAAGGTCGCCCCACCATGCTCCGACGAGATCATAAGACTAGACTGTCCACACGCCCCCAAGATTGTCACCCAGCAGCCCCGATTGGCGCCCAGGTAGCCCCAAGAGGACCCACGAGGGCTCCAAGTGAGCCTAAGAAGGCCTCACGCAGGCCCCAAGCAGAACCCAAGCTGGCCAAGAGAGCGTTCCAGGATCCCGATCTGTGCGGCGGAGTCTTCGCAGTCTGCGCAGAATTCTCAAGTACGAGACCAGTCGAGTCAATACAAAGGCGCCAAGTCTATGAGACTGCTCCTGTCACTGAGTACGCAACGTAAGCGCGCTCGCTTGCTAGCTAGCTTTTTTGGGATTATCCACAGGCCCACGCTTGTCTATACTACAATACCGGGATCAGTGCGTGCAACAGCCCCTCGAGTGGACTCGGCCCGGCCCCCGGCGCTCCTGGGGCGCTCCTGGGGCCCTGGTCCGTCGCCGGCGCTCCCGGAACGGCCTTGGTCCGTCGCCGGCGCTCCCCGAAGGGCCCTCGCCCGCTCGTCACGGATCCACGAGAGCCTCGAGCGAGCTCCGAAACAATCCCCCTAGGTCCCCTACAGGCCCGAGCGGCCCCAGAGGCTCTCTTGACGACCCCGAGAAAGCCTCACGAGGCAAAAAACATTAATTTTCCATTGATTTTTGACGATATTTCCGGTTCGGGCTCTTTCCAGCCGGAACGGCCCCAGAGGCGCCGCGACTCGTTTCAAGACCGCCCATGAGGCCCCCAAGAGAGCCCCAGAACGGCCCAAGAGTGTTCCAAGACTGCCCAAGGCGGCCCCAAGCCGCCCCAAGAGAGCCCCAAGAGGTCCCCGAGACCTCCCGTGAGGCCCCCAAGAGAGCCCCAGGACGGCCCAAGAGTGCCCCGAGACTGCCCAAGACGGCCCCAAGCCGGCCCAGGAGGGCCCCGAGACGGCCCCAAGCCGCCCCAAGAGAGCCCCAAGAGGTCCCCGAGACCTCCTATGAGGCCCCCAGGAAGGCCCCAGGACGGCACCAGAGTGCCCCAAGACTGCCCACGACGTTCCAAGCCAGCCCAAGACGGCCCCAAGAGGGTCCCCAGACACCCCCAGGAAATCCCAAAACGGCTAGACTGCTCAAGACGGACCCAAGCCGACCTAAGGCGGCCCGAAGAGGCCCCCGACGGCTCTCAAGAGAGACCCAATGCAGTCACAGGAGCTGCCACGACGGCCCCGCAGATGTCGGCGCCAGCTCCTGGAGGTACAGAGCCCATACCAGCACGTTCGGGGAGGGCGAGCTGTGGCATCCTGCCGTGGCGCTGTTCCTCCCCGTTGCCAACGCGGCGAACACTGACTCCAGGAGCCGTCGTCGCCGTCGCCGTCCGTCGTCTTCGCGGGCGATCGTCGTCGTCCTCATCGCCGAGTCCCTCCTCCCCTTTTTCCTTCATCTCACCTCCCTCCTTCCCTTTCCCATTCTCGTTCACCTGCCGCTCTTCGCGGGCGAGCCCGACGTCATAGCGGCGGTTAGCTGCGACCCTGGATGCCCCTCGGGAAACGGCGGCCGTTTGCCCTGGCCAGGTCCACGCGGGGAGCAGCAGAGTCCATGGTCACGAAGCCTCCCGCGGGAGCTCAAGGTACTCTTGCATCCCGGTGCTGTCGGCCATGGGCCGTCTGCCGCCACCCCTCGTGCACGCTCCGTCTTCACTCAACCCAGAGCGGCTGCGGGGAGTAGCAGAGACTACGGGCACGTGACCTCCCACGGGGGCTCAGGGTTCTCTTGCATCCCGGTGCTGTCTACAAGAGCGGCGGCGTTCGCCACGACCCTGGATCCACACGGGGAGCTGCTGGGACTACGGGCACGAGACCGCCGCGACCCTGGATCCATGCGTGGAGTAGCAGAGACTACGGGCACGGGACCTCCCACTGGGACTCAGGGTACTCTTGCATCCCGGTGCTGTCGCCTGGCCGCGTGCCCGACCTGGCTAGGTCTCAGTTTTGCACTTGCACTCCGGAGCCTTTTCGGCTCCTTTTAGCACGGGGTTCGCCGCCAGCCCGGCATGGTAGGTGTGACGAAACGTCATGTCTGCTCGGTCAAGCACTGTGGCTCTCGCACGCGGAGCCTCGACCCAGCGGACCACACGCGCCCGCTGTGCAAGGAGCATGGCGGCGAAGACGCGGACGCGTCGGCGAGGCTCGTGGGCCTTCGGCAAGGGGCCCGCAACGTCCACGAAGAACAGCTTCACCAGGTCGCCGTGTTGGCTGCGTTCGTGAACGCTTCGGCGGTAAGCACAGTGGAAAAAGTCCACGGCCAGCAAACAGCGAACGCACTCTTCCAGAAGGTGGCTTCGGACCCCCAGGTCCTGAAGTTTTTACAACACGACGAGTGGACAGAGTACGCTCGTGGCGAGGCGAACTTCGCTTTGAACGCCACGGACTTGTACCTCAGGGACTTCCTCCACCACACCCAGTTCTCTGAACAACTCTTGCACCTGTTCGTCACACGGCTACACTTCAACGCGGACGGAGCCAGCAAGACCCTTTTCTCCGACTACGAGCGGATGTTTGGACAGCCTCTGGCCGAGGGCAAGACGTTCAGTCGAGCCACCTTCCTGGAGGCTGCCCTTTCCCACAACATCCCAAGCCACTACCCGCACTACAAGCTGCAGCTGTACAACAACGAACGCAACCGACAGCTCTCCAACGGCACCGTCGCCGACACGCACGACACGAAGAAGTACGGCTTCCAGTTGCGCGTGTTGGCGGGGTGGCTCGACGAGCTGCTCCGGTCTCGAGCCTTCAGCAAGACGGCGGCCGCCGTCATGGGCGGCACCTCCTTGGACAAAGCGCTCCGGACGAAGTTGTTCGTTAACACGGAGTGGCACCGGATGCTCATAGGGCGCGATGTGACGGCCGCCAACCCCGAGGCAGCCGCCCGCGGCGGCTTCTCTTTGACCACCAACACCTTCGTCGGGGGCGGCGCCAAAGAGGTCCTCGAGCGCTGCGCGGCCCCAGGCACTGACTGGTCCGCCCGGCTCGTCGCGGTCCACGAGAGCCTCACGCCCCTGCTGTTCGGCGTAGACTTGTACTGCCCACGGCGCACCGTCAGCCAGACCGAGGACCAGCTGTGCGAGCTCCGCCGGTGCGCCCGTAGCGGGCCCTCGAAGCCACAGGGCCGTTATCCCACATGACAACTAAATCTTTCCCTCCCGGGCCCGTTTTTCCGACGGCGGGTTCCTTTTTCTTCCCCGCGGGCCCAGTCCTCTCCCCGTCCTCGGGAGCGTGCTCTGCCCGCTTCCGTGGGGTTGTCTTTTTCCTGGTGCCGAAGGCCGGAGCCCTGGCTCCGGCCTTCGGGCGCGGTCTGAATGGCTCTGTCGCTTCGTGGGCCCACGAAGGTGGGAGACCCGGGAGCAGAAGAAGCGCGGCCGCTTGCGCAAGGGCGGGGCGCGCGTCGTCGACGCGCAGCTCACCCGGCGCGGCCGCCTTCGCAAGCACTGGCGGGCGCTTGGGTTCAAGAAGAAGCCCAGCCCGCCCGACTACCTCGCCAACGCCGGCGCGGTGAGGGCGAGGGCGTTGGACCTCCGGTGAAACGCCTCGCCTGCGCTTGGCGACCAGCGCTTCCTCCCTCCTTTCCCCTGCCTCTTCTTTGCCTCGCCCTATTGCCACTCCTCGCTTTCCCTCCTTCTCTGCACCGCGTCCTCTCCCTCTCTCTCTCTCTCTCTGTATCTCTCTGTCTCTCATTTTCTCTCTTTCGCCCCGCCCCGGCCTTGATTGGACGGGCGCCGCTCTCATGCTCTCAGGCACCAGCCGCGCCAAATGCTGGTGACCGCGGCCTCCTCCGTCGGCGGGGGACCACTGGCGCTGCCCTCTGTCTGTCTCTCTCTCTCTCTCTCTCTCTCTCTCTCTCTCTCTCTCTCTCTCTCTCTCTCTCTCTCTCTCTCTCTCTCTCTCTCTCTCTCTCTCTCTCTCTCTCTCTCTCTCTCTCTCTCTCTCTCTCTCTCTCTCTCTCTCTCTCTCTCTCTCTCTCTCTCTCTCTCTCTCTCTCTCTCTCTCTCTCTCTCTCTCTCTCTCTCTCTCTCCCTCTCTCTTTGTCTCTCGCTCTCTCTCTCTTTCCCTTCTTCTCCCTCTCCCTTTGTCGCCCCTCTGTCTCCCCCCCCCTCTCTCCCCCCTCTCCGCTCCTCCCCGCGGTCCGTCTCCTCCTCCGTGCGCAGGGTCGGGCCAGAGCCCTGGGAGACTGCGCTTCGCGCCCGCTTTTTCCGAGAGTCGAGCACGCGGCGCCGACGGCACCGAGACACGCGCGCCTTCGCCCGGGGGAACGGGCAGGGTACAAAAAAATGGCCCTGAGCATTTCATCCTGCAATGCTGCACATCCTGCAATGCTGCATGTGCTGCTTGCACATCGCTGTGCCGTTCCCGTGCGTTCCCTTAAAAAATACTCAAAAACGAACGTTTTCCCCGTGTGTCCCTTGGAATGGCGCCGAAACCAGTAGGAATGGCTATATGCCGTCGACGCCGCCGCCCATGCAGGGCCGTTTTCGCGAACCTCCCAGGACAGCGTTTTCTGAGAATTTCCGAAAACATAGTGTGTTTGAGGCCATTCCAAGGGACACACGGAGAAACCGCTCGAGTTTTCAATGGATTGTCCGACAACCACCGGGCGGGGCCTTTCACTCGCAGCTTACCATACAGGCTCCCGCCATTCCGCCCTGATCGTTGTCATCATCATCATCATCGTCATCACCATCATCATCATAAATATCACCGCCATCTTCATCATCGCCCTCGTCATCACCACCATTATCATGAACATCATTGCCGTCATCGCTAAGACGACCCTATCCGTGCCTTTCATGATCACCATGACACCCGTCGCAAGGTGCAGGACCATGCTTTCCTCGCACAAATCGTGATTCCAGAGGGAGTTCCAAATACAGGATCACATCGGAAGCGACGCATGGGGTGTCGTTTCCTCGCCACGCTTGTGCATTCGGTAGCCTCCCAATTGGCTCCAGCATCCTCTGCGCGTTCTCGCGCCCGCTCACGACCATGGCTTTCTCGCCGGCAGCGAAGAAGCGCAAGGGCGACAACGCGGCCAGCGTCGTCGGCAGCCCCGGCGCAGCGTCCGCGCAGAGTGGCGCCCAAGTGCGCGGCCCTCTCGATTTGCAGGCCCACCCTCCCGGACAATCCGAACGTTTCCTTCGGACGATGTTCGCGCCCAGGCCCCCAACCAACCTTTTCACTCGCCAGGTGTTCCTTCGTCCTGCGCCGCCTCCCGTCGCACGAATCTTTACCTCGCAGGGCCCTCCAGCTTCTTGCTGTTGCACCCCCCCTCCCCGGCCCCTCCCAGGCGCTGAGCCAGCGCGCCGCAGTCGGCATGTCCCCGAAGGCGCCAGCGAAGAAGCCCAACAGCGCGCCGATCGAGGTCTTCGTCTGGCTCTACACCAAGTGCGGGTCGGACGTGTTTCCCGGGTTCCCGCAGACGGATCTCTTCGGCTTGCGTCTGCGGCGCGAGGCTTTCCCCGCGGTGGATTCGGACATCCTCGCTTCCTTCAAAATGTTCCTGGGCGAAAAGAATGCGGAGAACGACGATTACCCGGCCGACCTGAAGGAGCTGAAGGACTACGAGCGCATCATCATCTCCCTGACCCAGACGCCCAAGGACGTCGAGGGCCGCCGCGTCCAGACCAACATGCCGCTCAAGGACACCGCCGCCCGCAAACCTCACCCTTTCGCCTCCTGACTCGCGTTGTCCTGAATATTCGGGGACAACCGATACCAGCACGAATAGGCCATCATATGTAAAGTCCCCGGCTTCCACAGGACTCCGGAATGACAAGTCCGCCCGAGGCCGTCAGCTGGTCGACGGCCATCGGTGTCTTTGTCCCCACACCTCGCCTTATAGCGACCCTCGGAGGAACGCAACCGACCCGCCTCAATAACGCAACCCAATCCCCCCCCCTCCGTCTTGCTATCCTGTCAGGAGTGGAGCGTCATGTTCTGGACCGACGAGCCCTTCCACTGCATGCGTCTCATCGCGGACTTCTCGTGGTGGAGGGCCCAGCACCGCCGCCCCGCGGACAAGAGCCCCTGGCCGGACCTGAGCACTCTCAAGATGGTGGTGAACCCATTCGTCAACGTGTCAATGGACGGCTTCAACACGGACAACATCACCATGCCCATGACGGTGAACGAACCGAGCACCACCTTGCAGTGCTCCATATTCGAGAGCTCCCCACCTGGTTCCTCTAAAATGGTTGAGGTCCGTGTCCAGGTGATCGACCAGAAGACCGTCTTCTTCGCTTGGGAGGGCCGCACCTTCCCCTACCGCGAGCGCTTCGACTTGAAGCGCATTGGCCGGGAGGACAACGTTCGCATATTGCCCCAGGCCCGCACGGACGTGAGCATTGCCGACAACGCAGCCTTCATTCGCGACGTTTTCAAGCAGGGCGTTCTCCGCGATCTGTTGGTGCACCTCGTGCTGGAGGAGAGCTCGGTTCCCGCCGACGGGCCCGTCAAGGAACTGCTGGACGAGTTTCGCGGAAACCCGCAGATTCATTTCAACGCCTTCTAAAATGTGACGGCCGCGCGAACCTCGCGCGCTCTTTTTTGGTCAGCCCGATGCCCGAGCGCTCGGAGGCCCCTGCTTGCAAGGGGGCACCTCTGCGACTCGCGCGCCGGCACCCCGCCTTAGGTTCACTGCTATTCTTTGTTCGCTGCCTTCTCCGCAACGTCCTCATCGGCATTTCAGCGCGGCCGTGCTTTGCGCGAGGCGTGGCTGGCGCCAGGCACCCTGGCGCGCATCCATTACCTCGCCCATCGCAATCGGCGCTCTCACCGTTCTGCGTGCGGAAGTACGTGCAGAGCGAGTCCACGGCCGCTTGATTGTTGCCCAGCCTTAGCGCGCCAGCTGAGCACCCAGGACTTCTGAAGCCAGCGACGTGTTTTTGTTTCAGCGCACCAGCCTCGTGGCAACGTACCGTTGAAAACACATACTGTCGGCCCCCGCGCACACCTAGAAAAGCTAGCGTTCTTCCCGTGCGTCCTCGGTACTCGGCCCAAAAGCCTTAGGAAATTACACATTTTGTGATTGGCGCCGCCACGTTTGCATCGTCCATAGGGCCTTTCCAAGACGGCACATTCGGGCAGTTCTCGAAAACACAGCGTGTTTCATCCCATTCCAAGGGACACACGAGAAAAACCTTAGTGAATCCGACGGTTCTCTCAGGCCCCCAGGAAACCCTTGGGACTTGACTCCATGAATCCCGGTGTGTTCTCCATTGACTCCGTTGTCCGTCCTGCGTTCTTGTCGGCTTGCGACTTCGACGCTGACGAGCATATGAACCCAGCAGCAGTCATGTTCTTTTGTAGGCTCGATGGTCCCCCGAAGAAGACCCAAACATTTCATCGCCTCGCCCGGGGCCTCAGTGCCCTTACTCCATGCGCCGCCCCCATCTCCCTGTACTATTCCCGCATGTGGCCAGCCCCCCGCGGGCAACCAGCGCGTCGTCCGTAGTCACTTCGGCTCAAACGCTTTCTCCGCGCTGGGATGCCCGCGCGCGCCCGCAAACGCCCGTGCGCGGCCGGCAGCGGACCCACATTTGCGGGGCAACGATGGCAGGGAACTTTCCGGGCGCACCAGCGCTGGATAACAGCGCACTCACGACCCCCCGCGGAAGTGGGGGCGCGAGATCCCGAGGAGGCCCGCTTCGCGCACTGGGCCGGGCTTCAACGGGCCCGGCGCGCCTCGGGCCATCTGCGCCCTGAGTACGTGCGCGCGTTGGATGCGTGCCCTCACTGGTCATGGGATGCCGATTGGGACGCCCGTTTCGATGCACTGCAACGATGGCACGCAAAGCACGGCCGGATGCCCCGACAAGGAGCTGCTGCTGCAGATTTCGAGGAGAGGAGCCTGAACAAGTGGGCGCGACAACAGGAACACCTCCTGCGCTCGCGCCGGCTGACTGAGGGGCGCGCGCAGGCGCTCCAGAGGTGGATCCCGTGGGGCGCCGGTCAGAAGGACAGTGTTTGGAACCAGTCTTACGACAGCTTGCGTAACTGGCTCCGTGCGCACGCCAACCGGTACCCGACGAGAGCGAACAACGCTTCCAAGACAGAGAAGTCTCTGCGTACCTTCGCAGACAACTGCCGCCGTTTGTACAACCGATCACCGGCCTCCGATGCAGGCATTGCCGTTCGTCGGTGCGAGCTCCTGCGCGCTCTGCCGGGATGGGACACGTTCGCGGAGCAGACGTCTTGGGATAGCAATTACCAGAGACTTCAGGAGTGGCTGCGCACGCACTGCGGCGCATTCCCGGACAGCATGGGCACGTCCTCGACATCGCCAGAAGAACTGCGCCTTGCTGGGTGGATCCAGAGGCAGCGCGCTGCGTACCACTCTGTTCCGCGCCGCGCCGCTGGGCTTCACGACGATCAACAAGGCGTTACCGTTGTCCGGCTCTTGCCTGCCGACCTGCAAAACAGACTGGAATCTTTACCCGGGTGGTCGTGGCACAACCAACACAGACGACGGTGCACTTTCATCCTCCCGTCGACTCCCCCGCGCCCCTGCGGCGCCGACGCAACGACCAGGCCGCATGCGACCGGCATTTTCTATTGTCCCCTGCACGCGCGGGTGGTCTCCGCGACAGCCCCGCAGCGGCCTCCTCCACAGCAGCCGCCCGGAGCGCCGACCCTGGTTCCGCCGCCCCCAGCCGCATGTGCACACGACCACGTGCGACGACGCTTCTCCTACAAGCGTCCACCCATACCCAGAACCACGGTGGACCATGGCCCGGCCGGCGGGGCCTCCTCCCCGGCGGCGCCCTCCAAGTGCGCCTGGGCCTCGGGGTGCGCTGCGCCTCCCGTTGCGAGCTTCGCGGGTCTTCGATATTGCTTGACCCATGACCGCATACTTCGTGCTGAACGCCCCGCGGTCGCATCTATTGCGGACTACAGGGACAGCTTCTTCGTCCCGCACCAGGGGAGCGCCCTCGCGAGCGTCTGTGACCAATGCGGCTCCCACAACTTCGAGGAAGAGCGGGTGCAACGAGCAAACGCTCGGACAAGCATGCTCGGGCACTTCAGCATTTGCTGCCAGAACGGCAAGATTACTCCTGCCCAGATCCGGACGCTGCCATGCCCCCCGCCAGAGCTACTCGACATTCTGCGGGGCACTTCGCGAACGCACCAAGCAGCGCGAGCCGCCCTCAAGATGTACAACCACGCTTTCGCCTTCGTGTCCTACGGGGCGTCTTGCTTTGCAGACCAGGCTCCAGGGCGCGGCCCACCTGTTGTGATCTGCCACGGCACCGTATACCACAACTCGGGCTACCTGTTCCCCCGGGACGGCGACGCCCCCACGTTTGCCCAGGTGTACCTGTACGACCACAACGAGGCCGTGAAGGCGCGCACGGACAACCCTTATCATTCCGGGATCAACGCCGACATCGTGGAGCACTTGCAGCGCATGCTCGACCGGGTCAACCCGTACGTGCACCAGTTCCGACACATGCGGGACATCGTTCGCAACCACAACCCCACCAACGTGCAATTGTGCATTTCCCAGACGGAGGGCCAGGACATGCGCCGCTACAACAAGCCCCAAACTTACGAGCCAGCCGTGGTGTTCCGCAGCTCCGACGGCGTGCTTCACGGCACCCGGGATTTAGCTGTGTGGCCTCGACTAGATGATACAGAAGTCATCAGAATATGGCCCGAAAACGAAAACCTCGACCCCATGGCGTACCCCTTGCTGTTCCCTTGCGGGGACCCGGGATGGCGCCACGGACTGCAACACGCAGGCCGCCAAACAGCTTCTCAAACGACATTGACGTGTGCCCAGTTCTACGCGTACCGCTTGATGCTCCGCGTTTACGTGCCCGACACTGACGATGCCGCGCAAGGTCGTTGGCCGACGACACAGCCGTCACTGCCGCATTCTGCAGGCTTGCTTTTCCAGACATGGCTCTGCGACGCTTGGAGCCGAGCAGAAAGCAACCGTCTGGCGTGGTACGCGCAGCACCAGGGCGACATTAGGGCGGAAACGTACCAGGGCCTCCACGACGCCGTCCACAGCGACGCTTTTCAACAAGGCCACACGAGAGTCGGCAGGAAGGTCATCCTGCCTCCGACCTTTCCGGGAGGACCCCGCGCTCTTCACCAGCATTACCTCGACGCCATGTCCATAGTGAGGGCTTTCGGGAAACCCGACTTCTTCATCACCATGACTGCGAACCCGAACTGGGCCGAGATTCAGACGGCCCTGCGCGAGGGGGAAAGTGCTGCAGGGCGCCCGGATCTCGTGGCTCGCGTCTTCCGAACCAAGATGCAGCATCTGCTGGATCTCCTGTTGCGAGAGAGGGTGCTAGGCGGTGTAGTTGCCAACTGCTTTGTCGTGGAGTTCCAAAAACGGGGGCTCCCGCACGTGCACCTCCTCATCATAATGCAAGCTTCCGACAAGCCCAGGTCGGCCCTAGACATCGATGAGCGCATCAGCGCCGAATTGCCTGATCCAGCGGACCCGGAGCAGTCAGAGTTATTGAGAATCATACTGGCTTCCCAAATCCACGGTCCGTGCGGCTGCCGCAATCCGCGCGCTCCGTGCATGCAGGAGGGGGCGTGCACCAAGCGGTACCCGCGGGAGTTCACCGAGACCACAGACATGCACAGAGACGGGTACCCAGTGTACCGACGACGGAAGTCGTCGCCGACGGCGATGAAGAATGGAATGCAGGTCGACGCCCGAGACGTTGTGCCGTACAACCCGTACTTGTCCAGAAAATTGGGGTGCCACCTCAACGTGGAGTACTGTGGCAGCATCCGTTGCGTCAAGTACCTTTTCAAGTACGTGCACAAAGGGCACGACCGGGCCGCCCTGGAATTCGACGGCGACGAAATCAAGCACTTCCTCGACGCTCGGTACGTGGGGCCTCCAGAAGCTTGTTGGCGCTTGCTGGCGTTCCCCTTGCATGGGAAATCGCACACCGTCGAACGCCTGGCCGTGCACCTGCGCGGCGGCGAGACGATATACTTCCAGGACGGGTCCGAGGCGGCCGCTGTGGCCGCGGGCAGCGAGACCACCTTGACGGCGTGGTTCCGCTTGAACGCAGAGCCGCCCGACGGATTTACGCCTCCGGCTCGCTCGCTGCATTACGCCGAGGTGCCGCAGTTCTTCTCCTGGAACCGCAGCAGGAAACTCTGGCAACGCAGGCGGGGCGCTGGTTCAGCTGGACGAGTACTCGGGCGTCTGGCCACTGCCACGCCGACAGAAGGTCCCAGATGGTATTTGTATCTATGCAGCTCGCTTCGCGACTGCGCCAGGCACGCGACGCACGCTTTCTTCTGCCTTCAAAGGTCCACGATCCCCGTACCCGACCCACCCCCATCCCCCTCGGCGCAATCTGGGATCCCACTCTCGCCGCCCGGGGCCCCGCGCCTCGGGCTCGCGGACTACTCTTGCACGTGACTGGGCCCACCAGTTTCTCGGACCTCGCCACCGTCGTCCATTCGGACGGCAATCGCCAAACATTCTACCAGCGGCGATGGAACGACGACACCTCCACGTGGGAGAACTCGGACGTGCCAGATTACCGGCGAGCATGCGAGGAGCAAGGCTTTGCGAACTCCAGCGACGAGTACGCCCGCTGCATGGAGGAGGCCGCTCGCCTACGGAGCGCCCCAGCGCTGCGCCGTCTCTTCGCCATGTTGCTCCTCCATTGCGAGCTCGCCTCCCCCGTGACCTTGTGGCAGCGATTCGCGAATGACCTCTGCGAGGACGTCCAGCGGCACCTCAGCGAGACCGACTCGGAGAACGCAGCGCTTCTGCACGTTCAAGAGGCACTCAGCCAGGCTGGGAAGACGCTGACGGACTTCGGATTGCCAACGCCCACGTACCACGACGTCGCGGGCCTGCAGCCCCGAGATGTTCGTAGGGAAACCGCCTACGACGCAGAAGAGGAATGGACATCTGCGCGGTCCCATCGGTCTATGATGAACGACGCGCAAGCGATCGTGTTTGACCAGGTCGCCGACGCCGTCATCGGAGCCCGTCCGCTCGCCGTGTTCATCGACGGCCCCGGCGGCACGGGCAAGACCTTTGTGTACAAGGCCATCCTCCACCACGTGCGTGGCATGGGAGAGATCGCCCTGCCGTGCGCTTGGAGCGGGATCGCTGCTGTCCTCCTGCCAGGGGGACGCACATGCCATTCCCGCTTCGGACTACCAGTGCCGCTGCCCTTGGACGACGTCGCTTCGAACATCGGGTTCCAGACGAGCCGCGCCGAAATCCTGCGACGAGCTAGAGTCATCCTCTGGGACGAGGCGCCGATGGCCCCTCGGGGAGCACTGCAATGCGTCGATGCACTGCTGCGAGACGTTACCCAGACGGACGCGCCATTCGGCGGCAAGGTGGTGATCCTCGGCGGCGACTTCCGCCAGGTGCTCCCCGTCATCCCACGGGTTGCCCGCGAAGACCTCGTTCAGCATTCGCTGCTGAACCACCCTTTGTGGCGCGCGGGCGTTGTGGAGGTCCACGCCCTGACGGAGAACATGCGGGCCAGGGGCGACGCCGATTGGCAGCGTTTCCTCTTGGACATCGGAGACGGCCGCGCACCGACCTTTCCGGACATCCACCCCGAGGCCGTGCGCCTGCCCGACAACATCGTCGCCCCCAGCCATTGGGGGCCGGAGGACCTCGCGCGCGCCATCTACGCCGACATCGCTGCGTCAGCGGCGAGGTGCGTCGGGGGCGACGTGGCCGCCGAAGACTTGCAGTACTTCTGCGATAGGGCGATTCTCACTCCGAAGAACGCGACGGCCGACTCAGTGAACGTCGCTATATTGCGCGAAGCTTTCCCGGACACGACCGTCACGTACTACAGCGTGGACGACGTGGGCGCCGCGTCGCCGGCGGAGCGGGACGTCTGGCCGACGGACTTCTTGAACAGCCTCACGCCGTCTGGACTGCCGCCCCACGAGCTCGCGCTCGCGCCGGGGGCCCTGGTCATGTTGCTCAGAAATTTAGACGCCGACGCGGGCCTGGTCAACGGAGTTCGCGCCATCGTCGTCCGCGCGCAGCCCCGGGTCCTCGACGTGCTCCTCGTGTCTGGCACACAAGCGGGCACCAGAGCATACATTCCCAAGATCGCCCTTGCGCCTCGGAACCCGGACTTGCCGTTCATCTTGCGTCGCTTCCAATTTCCCGTGCGGCTGGCATGGTGCATGACAATAAACAAAGCGCAGGGACAGACGTTGCAGCACGTCGGGTTGTACTTGCCAGACCCCGTGTTCTCCCACGGCCAGCTATACGTGGCCTTCAGCCGGGTCGGGGCGTCCAACCGCATCCTCGCACTGGTCCCCACCACTGACGAACACGGAGCGCGGGAAGCTTCGGATACATATCCCACTGGCACGTACACGAAGAACGTCGTCTGGCCAGAAGCGCTCCTGAGCCACCCCCGCCCAGCGCCATCGCCTGCCCACCCCGCCGCGCGCGCAGATACAGAGATGCCGCTCGCGGGCGCCGCTTCCAGCAGTGACGACGCACCGGCGTTCCTGGACGAGGGCTCCGAGGCGCCGCCGAGCCCCGCTGCTCGGCCGCGACGCTTCGCGCGGGACCACGGGCCAGACGACGTCGATGAGTTCGGGCCGGCGCCCCCAGACGATGCTTCTGCTAACGTCGTCCTCGCACCGCTGCGCCAGCGCGGAGCAGTCGTGGACGCCCCAGCGCCTCCTGAGACGCTGTTCCAAACATGCGCAGCCACAGAGAACGACAATCCCAGTGCAGATTCCGCCGGCCCCATGCCCTCAACACAGCTACGATGCGAGGCCGCCAGCTCATCGAAGCAGAGGGAGCGATTCACCGGATTCTTCGAGCGGCAGCGCGGCGCCCATTGCGGCATGCACGCGCTCAACAACGCCCTGGGCTTCGCGCTGCTCGACGAGGGGACCATGGAGGCATCCGCCCATGCATTCATCGAGCATGCCGCTTTAGACGGCCTCCCACAGCGCCTGCGCGACCACATGAGCCCCTCTGGAGATTATTCCGAGGCGGTGCTGGCGTTTGTGCTTCAACGATGCGGAAACAGTTTCTCCTTGAACCTCAATGCTCCCGTTCTACCACAGGACGCGATGAACATTTTTGCGCCTAACGTGGTCGGGGTCGTGGTAAACCAGAACAACGCACATTGGATTGCGGTGAAGGCTGTGTCCGGCCGAATCTGGAAGTTGGACAGCGCACCAGGTGATGGACGTAGTGTTGCGGAGCCTGTACTCTGTGAGCTTAGCGACTTCCAGAAGCTCCTGCGCAGACATCCCACCGCGTACCCACTGCTCGACATCCGGCCGCGCACGTAGAGCCTGAACGACGTTGACAAATCGCATGTCCTGAAAACACTGGCCTTCGGCGCACCCCGCCAACGTGCCTTGGCGGTGGGGCACTTTCTCCCACATGCTTTTCGGGGTTTCTTCTGACTTTTGGAGCTCTCCCGAGATCATTTCCGAGTTCTCTTGGAACATTTCGAGTGCGTTCTACCAGGGCGGGCGATCTTTGGGCCCGCCACGACTTTCCCTAGAGCCCGGCGACATTCCCACATGGACCGCCGCTCGCTTTGAAAGCTTCCACATGGGCCCGTCCATGACGTCGCCGCACATACCTCCGAAACCCAACGTTTTCCCCGTGTGTCCTTTCAAATCGGCCCAAACACATTAGGAAAATGCGCATTTCGCTGCTGGCGCCGTGCCGACCGCATCGTCCAAAGCACTTTGCAAATACGACAGGTTATGGCAATTCTCGAAAACACCATGCGTTTCAGGCGATTGCAAGGGACACACGGGACAGCGCATCGTGAATCCAACGTTTTTCTCCACCCGACAGGTTGGGGTCGTTAGATTTCTCAGAACAGACCTCCCGGCCACACCCCCACCCTGCATACCGCGGCCGCCAGACCCCGAGTTGTCCCAGTGCTCCCTGGGGCTCCCGCCCCATCCCGCCTCGCGCCCTCGACGAACACGACAGAATACAACATGACAGCGCAGAACATGACGAACACGACAGAACACAACATCACAGAACAGAACAGAGCATGACAGAACATGACAGAACAGCACATACCAGAACAGAGCATGACAGAAGACATCCGCCTTCTTCCCCACCCGACAGGTTGGGGTCGTTAGATTTCTCAGAACAGACCCCCCGGCCACACCCCCACATTGCATACCGCGGCCGCCAGACCCCAAGTTGTCCCAGTGCTCCCTGGGACCGGCCACGCTGTCGGGCCACCAGGACCGGCTGCACGACGCCGCCTTCTCGCCCGACGAGCAGCAGGTGATCACATACTCCGCGGGAGGAAGAGCAGGAAGAAGAGGATGGTGGGGATCGCTCGAAGCACATAATTTTTTTCGGGCCGCAGCTTCCCTGGGACTCTCTCCATCGATCCCTCTTGGGGCCTCTGCGTCACGTCTTCTGGCAATGTTTGCCTGTCATGAGGCCATCGTGGGCCGTCTTGCGGGCCTTGGGCGGTCTTGGACCAATATTGGAGCGGTCCTGGCCGTCTTAGAGCGATGGGACCCAAAAAGCTCGAACCCCAAATAGCTGTACCAACGTATGGACAAGCTCTTACTCTTGCCTCGTGAGGCCCACTTGGGAAGTCTCTTGGAGGCCTCTTGGGTCATCTTGGAAGCCTCTAGAGCTGTCTGGGGGCCATCTTCAGAGTCTTGAGGCGCTCTTTGACCGTCTTCGGCGCTTGGTGAGGAGCCCCGCGAAAGTCCCCGGCACGTCTGGGGACGTGCAGCCGTCCCAGAGACTATGCGAGACACGCCGAACCGCGCAGGAACGCCCGATAACGTCGGGGACATTGGTGGTTGAACCACTGGCGCCATCTCCTTTGCCGCCGCATCGTCCGACATGCCGTTCCTCTCTCCATTCCTTCGCCGTCATCCCCGATCTGACCCTTCCCGTCCCCTCTGCGCCCTCTTCGCCTCCGCCGGTGACGTCCTCACCTGCTCGGAGAGCCGCTGTTGAAGACATGGACTGACGGCCGAAAAAACACTGCACCTTTTTTGGTGGATTTTTTTCACCCGTTTTTGTTTTCCGCAGACTTCGGCCTCTCGGGGCTTTTTCCGGGCCCAGGGCCCCTGAGGCACAGACCCGGGGCGGACAATTGCGCCGGATGGACACAGGGAGGGGTCCTGGGACGCATTTAGAGATGAGTTGCATTGCTTTTCCACGGGGTGTAGCACGAACGCCCTCCATCCACGGATATGGGCAACCTCGAGGGTCCAGTTTCTCCAGCATCTCTTCACGAAGTCGCAGCTCTGCCACTATCCATACAAACACGCGCCCTTCTTTCTCCCAGGGCCCCAACCCACAGGGTTTCCGAGCTTCGTCCGGACGTGGACACAAGGAGTGACCGTACTGGCCAAAACCCTTCAGCCCTCAAGCCACGAGGACGAATTTCAGACCCGTTGTGATTGTTCCACGATCCGACCCAGAGCGTGGCCTGCGGCACGAGAACGCCGCAGTCAAGCGCCCCTAATCCCGTTATCTGCTCTCCTCCCGCCTCCACCTCCATCCCTGCCATCCCACCCCCCAAGGAGCTTTACGGACCAGATCTTCGAGGAGCTGTTCGGCTCCGATGCTATGTTCTGCTACGCCTTCGCCGGCTCACACACACGGTGTGCGCGTCTCAGGTTCAGCACACCGTGGATTTAATCCACGGGTGCACACTAGTCAGCTACAATGCTGGGATCAGCGCGTGCGAGAATGGCGGACAGTGGCAGCGGGCTTTGGCGTTGCTCAGCGAGATTTGCGAGGCAAAGCTGGAACCCGACATCATCTGTCCTACAATTCCGGTGGCACCGAGCCCGAGACCCGCTCCAAGACCCGCTCCAGGGGCCGCCAGTTGGCCTGGGGGCCGCTCCAGCAGCCGCTGGCTGGCCTGGGGCCCACCCCAGTGCTCGCAAGAACGTCTCTCGAGGTTCCCGAAGGGGCCCAGGGTAGCTCCAGGAAGCCCGCACAGTGTCCGCGGAGGGGCCCCAGGAGGCCAACACGGCAACAAAGAAGAGACAAAGTGTTGTCGACCAGCTAAATGATGCCCCATGTGCGCTCCGAGTGAGCTTGTATCGGCGCCACCCCAGCATACTAATACTATGTGTGCGACGCTCCTAAGGGCGACGCGCGCGCCGAGACATCTTATAGTAACGCTCGGTGGCGGGCGCTTTCTGGCCATACCGCTCGGGAAACGATGTACTACAAGGTTCATACCATATGCTTGGGTCGGGCGCACGCCTCCAGGGAGGACACCCAGTACTAGTATGTCCTTCTGCTTCCCACTTTGGGGGGTTCCAGGAGGGTCCAGGAGGACCCAGCGAGACTCCAAGAGGGCGGCAGCGAGCCACGCCATAGCCTAAGAATCCTTCAACAACCTGGGGAAAATACATGATTTTGGTCTCTTGGGGCCCGCTTGGGAGGCCTCCTGGAGGCTTTGGAGGCCTCTTGGGCCGTCTGGGGGCCATCTTGAGCATCTTGGAGCGATCGTTCGGCGACTCGGGGCCCTCTTGGACACTCTTGGGAGCTTCTTGGGGCCCTGGGGGTTCCAGGAGGGCCCCAGAGGACCCAGCGAGACTCCAAGGGTTCTGCAGCGAGCCACGCCATAGCCCAAGGTGCCCTTGGCTCGCATGCGAGGCGACCCCAAAGCGTCCCCTGGCCTCTCCGACAGTCCCCCGAGACCCTCCCAGATCACACCGTTTAGGAGGGACAAAACACACTGACACAAGCAATCGTCGATTTCCTGGAACATATATATATATATACACACACGCAGATCGGGCTCCGATAGAGGGTCGTCCGCTGGTTCTCTTCCTCTCCCGAGGCAAGCCAACCTGTTGCAGACACAACGCGCACCCAAGAGGGCCGACGGGGCCCGGAGCAGCAAGAGGGGAAGTGGAGGGGACGACGGGCATCCAGGAAATGCGGACAGATCTATTGGGAAACTCCTGGGAGCGGTGCCTGCTTCTGGGTGTGCCCCCTGGGCCCCCTCCAGCCGCCACGGCCCCGCGCCGTGCTGATAGCGCAGCTCCCGCGGCCCGCCTCCCCTCCAGGCCCCCCCGGAACGGCCCCCCGAGGCCCCAGGGCGGCACGCCAAGCCAGGCCCAGAGAGGCCTTGGGGCTCACTCCGCGAGGGCCCCCCCGGGCACGCCAAGCTGGGACCCCAGAACGGCCCCCGGACGGCCCCCCAGAGAACCCAGGCTCTCACTCCGCGAGGGACCCCAGCAAGCCGCTTCGGGGCCCCATGCCCAGCACGGGCACGCATCAGTTGGTGCTTCCGGGAGCTCCCCGCTCATCTCTTCTTTCTCTTCCTTACCCCTCCTCCTACTCGCGGTGCTTCCAAGAGCTCCCCGCTCCTCTCTTTTTTCTTGTTCTTCCCCCTCCTCCTACTCATCTCCTCCCTCCTGCTCCTCCTCCTCTTCCTCCTCCTCCTCCTCCTGCTCCTCCTCTTCCTCATCCTCCTTCTCCTCCCGCCCTCGTGCTCCCCTCTCGTGTTCTCCTTTCTTTTCCCCTCTCCTCCTCCCCCTCCTCCTCCTCCTCCTCCCCCTCCTCCTTCTCCTCCTCCTCCTCCTCCTCCTCCTCCTCCTCCTCCTCCTCCTCCTCCTCTCTCTCCTCCAGGCGGGGGCCTCTGCACCACCACCACCAGCGCTCTTGCCTGCTTCTGCGCCCTCCCAGGCTTTCTCTCCGGTCCCCTCCTTCCTCCTCCCTCTACTCCTCTTGCTCCCCCATCTCGTCCTCCTCTTCTCCCCTCTCCTGGCTCCAACTACAGTGGAGACCCATGCCAAGAAACACCCTGCTTGCCTCCAGGGTGCCCTGGGTTTCTTGGTTTTCGATGGTTTTGCTACGGAAAGCGTGACGTTCCCCCACCAAAAACCAATACACGTTCTGGGGTCTCAGAGTTGGGTTTCTTGTGGAAGGTTTCTTGCGGTCGAGCTCCTACTGTACTCTGGGACCCCAACTCCGCTTGCGGCGATTGACGTGACGGGGGCATTTGAGGACAATTAGGAGCCCTCACGCGAGCATCGTATCTGGTGCCCCTCGGGCGCCCCCTCCAGGCCCTGCGACCTCCTGGGGAACCCCCTCGTCCCTCTTCGGCCACGCGCAGAGGAGGCTGGGGGAGGGTGGAGGGCTTCTTAGAAGCACCCCTGCTTCTCAGAAGGCGCGGGCCTTCTCTATAGATGTAAGGCCAGCTCCTTCTAAGAAGCCGCCTCCTTCTAAGCAGCGCAAACCCCCTCCCTCCACCCCCCTTGTGCGCGCCGCCAGCCTCTCCTCCAGCTCCGCCTGAAACTTCCCGCGCCAACTTCGGCCCCAGGCCTTCCAGCGTGACGCCTTGCAAGGCCAGCAGGAGCGAGCCGAGCCATGGCCGCTGGTTTCGCCCTGCTGGCCTTTGGACTCCACGGGTCAGCACTGCTCAGCTGCAACGCTGGGATCAGCGCGTGCGAGAAGGGGGCGCAGTGGCAGCGGGCTCTGGCGCTACTCAGCGAGGTAGAGGAAGCGAAGCTGGAGCACAATGTCATCAGCTACAACGCTGGGATGCGGGCGTGTGAGCACAGCGGGCAGTGGCAGCAGGTGTTGTCGTTGCTCAGCAAAGCGGAGAAGGCAGGTTCGGACATGGATCCCATTATTTACACCACTGTGATTCGTGTATGCGAGGTGGGCGGGCAGTGGCAAATGGCAATGTTAGTCCTAGATGATTTGTTGTTGAAGTTGGGGCGCAACTTTGTCGAGTAGAGCGCGATGATGTGCGAGAAAAGGCTGGTGTTGGGAGCATGTGTTGTTGCAGGCTGCTTGTGTTTCAAAGTCAAGCCTGGTCTCGACGTCATGAGCTTCATTGCTAGATCTAGGGAGAGACAGGCTGGTAGTAAACACGCGCACGGTGTCGCACCGCAGATTTTTTCGAAGCGCAGCTGGAGTTCGAACTCATCTGTTACATTCAGGGGCCAGCGCGGCGGAGGAGGCGATCTCGTTGCCCTGCCAGTCGGGTACTGCAGGGGTAAGCTCAGAAAGACTGTCCCCAGCGAGTTGCGGGAGTGAATGCCAGAGCGAACCGGATATCATGCACTGGCCAGCCCAAGCCTCCCCAGACATGCGGTGTCAGTGCGGGGTGCCCAGAAGTCCAGGTCCCTTCCCCAGGACCGGCTTTTCATCCTGAGTCGGCCGTGTTTTGATTGTCCCGGGGCCCGTTAAGGGCCCCCAGAGGCCCCTAAAATGGCAAAAAAAAATCCCTCTTTGATATCCGTAAGGGTTTCGCCCCCTGCCGTGGCCCCATGGGGAGGTCCACCTAAGGCCCCAGTGGTGTGTACCACATGCGTCTCCCTCACCCAAGAAAGCGCTTCGTGGCCCCATAGGGAGGTCCACCTAAGGCCCCAGTGGTGTGTACCACATGCGTCTCCCCCACCCAGTACAGCGCTTCCTGGCCCCATAGGGCGGTCCACCTAAGGCCCCAGTGGTGTGTACCACATGCGTCTCCCCCACCCAGTACAGCGCTTCGTGGCCCCATAGGGAGCCCCACCTTAGGCCCCAGTGGTGTGTACCACATGCGTCTCCCCCACCCAAGAAAGCGTTTCGTGGCCCCATAGGGAGGTCCACCTCAGGCCCCAGTGGTGTGTACCGCATGCGTCTCCCCCACCCAGTGTGGCCCCTTAGGGAGGTCCACCTAAGGCCCCAGTGGTGTGCACCACATGCGTCTCCTCCACCCAGTACAGCGCTTCGTGGCCTCATAGGGCGGTCCACCTAAGGCCCCAGTGGTGTGTACCACATGCGTCTCCTCCACCCAGTACAGCGCTTCGTGGCCCCATAGGGAGGTCCACCTTAGGCCCCAGTGGTGTGTACCACATGCGTCTCCCCCACCCAGTGCAGCGCTTCGTGGTCCCATATGGAGCCCCATCGAAGGTCCCCGTGGCGCAGTCCGCATGCGTCTCCCCCACCCAGTACACCGCTTCGTGGCCACATTTAGAGCCCCACCGAAGGTCCCCGTGGCGCAGTCCGCATGCGTCTCCCCCACCCAGTGCAGCGCTTCGTGGCACCATTTAGAGCCCCACCGAAGGTCCCCGTGGCGCAGTCCGCATGCGTCTCCCCCACCGTTTCGTGGCCTCACAGGGGCTCCGCCGAAGGTCCCCGTTGCGCAGTCCGCATGCGTCTCCCCCATAGGGAACCCCACCGAAGGTCCCCGTGGCGCAGTCCGCATGCGTCTCCCTCACCCAGTACAGCGTTTCATGGCCACATTTAGAGCCCCAACGAAGGTCCCCGTGGCGCAGTCCACATGCGTCTCCCCCACCCAGTGCAGCGTTTCGTGGCACCATTTAGAGCCCCACCGAAGGTCCCCGTGGCGCAGTCCGCATGCGTGTCCTCCACCCAGTACACCTCCGTCGGAGGCCGTCGGGGTTCCGCGCCTCGCTCGCCCGTCGTCGCTCTGCCCAGCGGCACGAGCCTTGCCCGTTATCAGCCAGCCAGCCAGCTAGCTCTTTTTGCTCGGACGACCCGCGCGCGTCGCTGGGACCCCAGGGCGACCTGCGCGCGTCGCGGGGACTCCGCGCTGCGCTGCGCCCGCAGCCTTGGACTTTTGATTGCGCGGGCAAAGAGGGAATAAAAGGAAGGGGAGGAAGCGGGCGCGATCCTCGCGGGGGGGCGCGCCGACATTGGCGTCGCGGCGCGCGGGCGATTCCGTCAGGGAGTCCCGGGGAAGTTCCTTGCGGCGGCCACGCCCAGCGTCACGAGCACTCAGAGGCAGCCGTTCTCAAAGTATTGACATTCATATACAATTACACCATGCTTGGTCAGACTCGCATTCATGCACGTAGACTCGCTCGCACGCATATTCATTCACAGTCAGACGCACTCGCGCTCATATTCGCCCGCGCTCAGTCTCCCCACGTACTCAGATCAATCGTTTTCGTTCGCGTTGCGACCACGTCACTCATTTCGGCACACCCCTAGCACGGTTCGTTGCCTCATAGGGATCACCACCGAAAAAGTGAATCACAATTGCGGTACTCGCACCTGCATATGGTTGGGTCCTTCGTCAGGTTAATTGTTGAAGTAGACCTTCGGTTAACTCTCTCAGTTTCGCCCGTTGTCAACATGTGATGGGTGGCGGGTAACCGATTTGATCGATGCGTTGTTGTCATTTTGACGAGGTGGTTTTCTTTGAAGACTTGCCTGCTGTTGTCGTTGTTCATTTTTCTAATATCGGTTCCACAAGAGTGCGCCTGGAGTGATGTACTTCGGCATCCCAGAGAGGGAGGGAGGGCAAGACATTTGCCCGTTGGCGCTCAGATGTGTGGGGACGTCTCCTGCGAACTGGTGGTTTTTGGAAGTTAGACATGTGTTTTCAAGCCGTGGCAACTGCGGTGTAGCAATCATCGTTTTTGGGCGCCATAGGGGGGAGGCGCCAAGGAGTACATCACCGGTGCGCTCGCGACCAGATTATGGGGATATGTCAATTGAAACGCTTGTTTTGGGAATCTTGTCGCGTCTCGTTTTGGGGTCGCGCAGTCGCTGCGGCAACATAGTAGACATCCGACTTGGGCACTACAAGAGTTAGCCGCCAGGGGGCAGGACACTTACGCGTGAGTGCCCAGGTAGTGGGGATATATCATGCAACGCGCTGGCTGTTGAGAGGTAGACGTGTCTCTGTTCAGGGCTTCGTGATGATTGCGATGTGCTGGCGGATAGAACACTTCCCCCTTGGCGCCCAGCTTGTGGGGATGCCTCAAGCGGACCTCTGGCTTCTGTTCTTCGATTGTGTTTATAGTTGTTCAGGTTTGCCTGGTCCTCGTGTTGTAGCAGGCGTGGCATCTGGGGACCGGGTGGGGGGGGGGGGCGTCAGGGGGTACATCACGGGCACTCTCGCGCTCATATTGCGAAGATATCTCGGCCCACCCATTTTCTTATGTACCCGCTCTTTTTTTTCCGACGCTCGTAGAAAGGAACCGCAAGGCAATTTACGCGTTATTGAGTGTATGAAAAGTTGCGCGGATGAGGAGGATCAGAAATAGGAGGGGGAGAAGGACGAGAAGGAGGAGGAGGAGGAGGAGGAGGAGGAGCAGGAGGAGGAGGAGCTCACCGATGCATACATGGTGATTTCTCGTGTCGCAGCATTTGTCCTGCCGTCGCCTGTGCAGCATCTCGCTCTTGAAAGGCTCTACCTCTGCGGAATATTGGCTTGTGCAATCCATGCCCGTCTGAGTCTCTTCCTCCCCCCTCTCCCCAGCGCTTTCCCGCTCGTTGTTCAAATCTTCCTTTTCCCCCTTAGTTACCTTTGGTTCCTCCGCCTTTATGACGCCGCGCAGATTTGGCTGGCCATTTGGGCTTCGGGGCGCGGTGCAGTTGACAACGTTTCGTCCGCCAGGCTTCGTTTGCGGCGGGTTGGTCCGCGCTGCACCCCAGGCGCACTGGTCGTTGCTCAAGTTCGCTTGGTGCTGCAGCCGCGCGGTGGCGCGTTGCAGCGCGTTCCTTCCTTCTCCCTCCGCGCGCCCTTCCTTTCCGCCCCGCCCCCCCCGCTTGTAGTCGGCGGATGCGCGTGGGATGGTGCCCTCTCTATCCCTTCCCCCCGCCTCCCCCGCGGTGGCGCCAACAGCGCTCCGAGCCCAGTTTGGAGGTGTCCGAACCAGGTTTCGGCGGCCGACTGGGGTTGGACGCCTGATACTGCACCCCTGCCTTGCGGGGGGGTACTTTTGCTGCTCCCCTTCCCGGCTCGCCCGCTTCCTTTCCTCCCTCCTCACCAGCCTTGCTTTGCCATTCAACATCACTGGATACACGCATTGCCCCGGGTTCTGGCGCCAAGGTTGCGAGGAACTCGCAAGCGATAGCGCCGAGACTTTTTGCCGCGTGGTTGGGTTTTGTTGGTCGCATTGGTCTTCGCCCCCGTCGTTGTCGAGTAAGAAAATATAATTACAGGATGCGTTCCCTCTCCTTCAAACCTCGCGCCCGCATTGTGGGGGCGTCTCAAGTGACGCCGCTGCGTCTGGTGATTGGGTGATTGGTCGGTTCGGTCGGCGCGGCTCTCGCCCGAATGCTTGGCAGCGGGGGCTGGTTCCCCGAGTGGGCGCACGACGCGATCTTCATTTGGCCTACTGTTGTGATTACATCACTACGGTTTCTTCGGTGTTCACTGCAGCACTGACTGGGGGGCGCCCCCCTCCCCTGCCGCCGCCATTTTGAATTGATCTTGGCCGGCGACATAGGTGGTCCCCAGCAGGGCCCTGCGGCCCCCGCATCCCATTCGGCCCATGCTGGTTACATGGGCGATGTGAATCGTGCGGCCCTTGCGGCTTGCGGAGTTCATCGGGGCCATGTGGAATATTCCGTTTCCGCCCGCCCGCGGAACAGCTCGCCGTCCGCGCCCAGGCGTCGCCCGCGTCGCTGCACACATTACGCTCTGCAGAAGCCGCAGCGACAAGGGCGTCACCAGCACGCGAGCAGCGATTCGTTTTTTCCCCACATCCAAAGTGGGGTTCTTGTTCCCCACATCCAAAGTGGGGTTCTTGATTTCTCTGGACACCCCGCGCAGGAACAGGAACACACACACACACACCCACTCACACTCACTCACACTCTCTCATCATCAACCTCATCAGCATCATCGATGATGCTCTCTCACATCAGCATCATCGATGATGCTCTCTCACATGCTTAGTCACTCACATACTCATCATCATCATCACTCGCACTCTCTCACACGCTCACGAACATCATCATCATCATCATCATCATCATCATCATCATCGGCA